GGCTCATTATAAAGAAGGGCTCAGAAGAGGCGTGGCAATGGCTCATTATTCTAAATATTCCATAAAGACTTTTCAAACAAAAGAAGAAAGAGGAGAGCCCACTGGCGTGGCGTCCATCATGTTGTAAAACGTACCTTTCCAAGGAAAGAAATAGAAAGGCACACATTTAGTACTTCTGTAATTGAAACTTTAGAATCGTTTGTGATTTTACAATCTTGTCAGCTTCAATTATGTTTTACATTGTTTTCGCCAAGACGATTACTCCACTGCAAACGTCAACCAATGAGATACAAAAAATAAAAAATGTTAAGGAGCACAGAAAAATCTTAATGTTAAAGACGAAAGCAGTAATGAATCACTAGATATAATACTGTCCTTCCTTCTGGAACTTGGACATAAACTTCAGTGTATTTGTACAAAATATAGTACTCGTGTCTTCTTTAAAAATTACAGAACTTTAAAACGCCTTCTAGCCAAGAACTAAGATCCAATACTAAAACTTAACTGATGACATTTTAGTTATGTTGTTAAACGTAAATGTGAGAATCAGTATATTGGGAAAACAACAGTCCTCGTCAGGTTTTGTTTGTTTGAAGTTAAACACAAACCTACACAAAGGGCTATCAGTGCTCCGCCCACCACGTGTATCGAAAACCGGTTTCTAGCGTTCTAAGTCCGCAGGCATACCGATGTAACACTGGATGGCTTCTCTTCAGGTTCATACTAACGAATACAAAAGATCCACCTACTACTATTGATAATTCAGGACGTGCTTTGGTCCGGAATTAATGAACAGAGGAGTAAAATTCCGTTGTCTTAGAATTGTTTTTAATTCTAATTATACGTATTTTGTTACAAATATTAATTACATTCAATTGTAGTAATTATTAATTCCTAATTTTGTAAAAATTTACGTATCATTTTACGTACATTTAAATGTACGATTTCATACGCAATCTGAGGGTCGCGGGATCGAATCCCCGTCACACCAAACATGCTCGCCCTTTCAGCCGTGGGGGCGTTATAATGTGACGGTCAATCCCACTATTCGTTGGTAAAAGAGTAGCCCAAGAGTTGGCGGTGGGTGGTGACGACTAGCTGCCTTCCCTCTAGTCTTACACTGCTAAATTAGGGACGGCTAGCGCAGATAGCTCTCGTGTAGCTTTGCGCGAAATTCAAAACAAACAAACAAACAAACGATTTCATATGTAGATTTCGTTATAATTAATCGCGTGTTTAAAACCTAATTACTTATTTTGATAAAATGTGTCGTTCGTTTGGTTGTTTCTCTCTTTTATGACATGGATAATGATTGTACATTATGGAACGTCCGTCGGCAACGGTAGGTGGCATACAAACTGTGCGGTTGATATGTTATTATATTATTGTGATATATTCTATCATTTCTCTTGATCGGCGAATTCTTTTAGATTACATGGTGAAAATAATGTTAAGTTCAGTCCTCGTAACAATAACAAGTTAGTTTTTTTTGTAACATTTCTACAGGCTACGTTCACTTTGATACAAGTAGTAGGCCTATGTGCTTAAACAACATCTCAACATTAACTCCACAACAAATATAGGGCTAATCTCAACTACAACGTTTCAATATAATCTGAGACGTACACTTAACTTACTTTGTTAGGTAAACAAACATGTAGTCCATCAAGTAACTCAATAACAGAACAAACGCAATATCTCTCACTGAATAATCAATACTTCATTTTTATTGGTACAGAACGAACTAAACTCAGTGCATCACTGATTCTCGTATTTATAATTAACTAATGTACCCATCTAGATATTAGTAGAATTTACCAGATCTTAACCTCATGTACCCTCTGACTAACATTGAGAATATAACTTATAACAATGTTCTTTTTTACTCGGAAATATAACAGGGTCAGTAAAGTAACATTAATTAAAAATTATTACAAGTTACATTGTGATATTATATTACTCAAACTACAGATCGATTATCTACACCAATAGTTTCGTTTTGAGTTTATTTACTGATTAATTACATCTCATTACAAGTTACAGCTTTTACAGTAAGTAAGATTTATAACAGGTTCGATCACTGGTGAGGTCCTTCTCAAGTATACAAGAAATGTCGTACTTGCTCTAAAAACAAATCTTACTTACTGTAAAAGCTGCAACTTGCTATAAAATTTTCTACATTGTTGCGTTAAACATAATGTTCACATCCAAATTTTCTCTCGACTGAACAATTGTGCTTGATAAATACATTCTGGAGTTAGCCCAAAAGTTTATACTGTCGAGTTTTAATGCCCAATTAAAAAAAAAACACTTTCAAAATTTTCACAGTTTTGCACTGATTAACATTCTTAAGACATTTGAGCATGACATAATCGCTGGTTGTATTTTTTCTGTCTTAATCTACCTTCACATAATATTTTATTGATTAAGCGAAAAAAGTACACCTACGTTCACGTGCCTATTAAGATTCTTTTCATCACTGCTCATCGTCAATTCTGTGTAGAAAATACACACTTAACCAATGTTAGTTCGTGTTTCCCTTCATCACAGCTTTCACAACGAGTGACTGACAGGAAGATTTATGACATCGTGTTTAATTATTATTTTGTGTGTGTTATATTTAGTACTTGCTAATAGAGGCTTCCAAAAACCAATCTAATACACACTCAGTTCTTCTCCTACGTTCATTGGTCATCCCATTACCACTCACCTTTCTTCTTTCATTACCATGTCCATCTCTACACCAATAAATGTCTTCATTTGTTCTTCAAGTTCCGGGAAACAAACTGATAGAGAAATTATGGTGTTTAAATATGCACATTTATTCTCTTCTAAACAAACTTTCTTTATATCAACATATACTTCGAAATGCAGCTTAACCAGAACTAAAAATTATAAACCATATAAATAGCTTTAGTATCGACAAAACAATGTTAACTGATGTTTACATTTTTCTAACCTTCTGTACTTTCTCTTTAACAAGCAGTTAGACAGAGCCGGCACTAGCGGTGGGACCGGGGGAGTTACCCCCCAAATCAATGCCATTCATTAATCTAACTTTAGGTATATTTTCAATTTTATGTCTCATCACCCCCACAAATAGTTAGGAAAAGCTGGAGCCGAGACTAGAGCTAAGAGAAAAATCCGACGGAGCTTTGTTTACGAAGAGTTCGTTGTTCACTGACGTATTTTATTCATATCAACATAATATATCATTATTATAGTGAATTATTTTATTCATATCAACATAATATATCACTATTATAGTGAAGTATTTTATTCATATCCACATAATATATCATTATTATAGTGAAGTATTTTATTCATATCAACATAATATATCATTATTATAGTGAAGTATTTTATTCATATCAACATATCACTATTATAGTGAAGTATTTTATTCATATCAACATAATATATCACTATTATAGTGAAGTATTTTATTCATATCAACATATCATTATTATAATGAAGTATTTTATTCATATCAACATAATATATCACTATTATAGTGAAGTATTTTATTCATATCAACATAATATATCACTATTAGTTCTAATGACATATTTCCACATTTTGTTATATAGATCACTATGCTCGCCATTGTCGACCTTCTTCATAATTTATTGCAGAGTGAAAAGTTTATTGATTAATTGTTTTAAGATTTATTTAAGAAATTAACATCTTAGTTTCCTTGGTAAAACTGTAAACGAACAACTAAACTTTGAAGTAACAGTACTCAATGCGAGTTTTACATAATAGAACGATACTGACATGAAATACTTCCCATGCAGAACGAGTTCATTGTAGGTTCTTTTGTTTAAGAGTCGCCTTATGATACCTAGTAAACACATAAAATAAAAGAACCACAGCGCTTTTAGAAGGTAGATCTTCGTTTCTCAAGATAATTTGATGACGAGGAACTCACTTTTAGAAAATAAAGTTTGGATCAAGGAACAAAAGATTGTCGAAACGTTGTACATTTGTAATAAAGTTTCTTTCGTTACCCATTCAAGCCGTCTCCAAACTTTATTTTCTCTCCCCCGGTCTCACCGCTAGTGCCGGCTCTGTCTAACTACTTGTTAAAGAGAAAGTACAGAAGGTTAGAAAAATGTAAACATCAGTTAACATTGTTTTGTCGATACTAAAGCTATTTATACGGTGAATTCTCAACTCACTTTTTTAAAGGCCTACATTCAGTAAGTGTTTGGGTTTTTTTAATGATGGCAGTCTTCGAAATAATGCATAACTTAATGGTGACGGCGCTAATTGTGCCTGTTTTAAAAATATCTCTGATTATTTTTTTTTCGACTTTGTTTTAAATTAATAGGTTATACACTTGTGTTTGTTTTTTCCTGTTGAATTTCGAGGGCTATCTATCCCAACCGTTCTTAATCTAAAGTGATAGATCAGAGGGAAGGGAGCTAGATAAAACCTCCAACCGTCAATTCTTGGGCTATCCTTGGGATTGAATGACACATTATAACGCTCCCACAGCTTAAAGAGCGAGCATGTTCGGTGACGGGATTCGATCCCGCGACCCACAGATTGCAAGTCGAGTGCCCTAACCACCAGGCCATGCCAAACAAAAATACGTTATACAATGAAAATTGTCTGTAATTAAGAAAAGAATAATCACCTTTATTTTTTAAAAACAAAAAAGTATACCCCAATAATGCAGCAAAGTGAATATTGACGAAGCTTTAACGTTTCATATTTGGCACCATCAGTTTCTGCCAGGTATTTTAAGGTAGTTTCTCAATTTTGGGAGTAAACTGGTGAAGATCTTCTGATCGTCTTTAGTGTTTTTTTTTCCGAAACCAGATGAAACTTATAATGTTCTCAACATGTTTACCACACCTCACTGTATCGTCTCTACTCTTGTGATAATTATATGAGTTTTCTGAATCTAGATAATAAAGATTTACATCTTGAATATATATATATACATAAAAACTGTCACTCCAATTGTTAAAAAGGAACAACAACTCTATTAATTCAACCAAACAGCTACAAATGTTGGTGAGTTTCCGTTCCAACAGTCTTAAAAGACATCATCATCACTTCTTTGTACTTACTCAGTTTAACTAACAATAAGTCCAACAAGATCCGCTTGGATTTATTCTCTGCATTGATTCTGCCAATTTCACTGTGGTTACAACGTGGCAACAGCTGTTATTCTTCCCATTCTGCAAGGCTTAGCAGATGGCTACGATACAGCTACCATGGTAATATGTGTCTTTGTGTTTCTTCGTCAACTATACTGATCGATCTACAACAGAAGGTGGCCGACTTGCGGCACGCTATAGACAAATACTTAGGCCACGCCTGTCAGTTAGAAAATGTCACATGTTATGATATATGACACAAATTTTGTTTGTTATTTTCGTACACGCTCGAAATGATATTAAAATGCATGCCATTTCATTAATTATTGAATTTAATTTATAATGCCTTTTAACTTGACTGCTTGAACACCCATCCCCGCGGACCTTGGGGTTGAGAGTGGTTTGTCGGGTTAATGACACCTTTCCTGAAATTCATAATCTAAAGGTGGACAACTGCTCAAAATGTTGGCTATCCCTGATCTACAATCATTATAACAGATCAACTATCAGGCAACGTAGGAGTTGTGAAGAGACAAATTTGAATCTTTAGTAAAATTTAAAGGCTCGGTAGTTGTTGTTTTAGCACAAATCTGAGAATAGGCTACCTTGGCTCTGCCCACAGCGGGGAATCAAGTCCCAGATTTTAGCACTGTAGGTTAATAAAGATACCCTGATCCATTGGAGGGATAAAATTGAAAAAACAAGCAAACATACGTATCTGACGTGTGCGTGTCTCGGTGTTTTAAATACGGAACATACTGATGGAAGTTTGATTTATAGTAATTATTTATAACTAATGGAAACCACCTACACTACCACCAGAAGTTACACATAAACAGAGAGCTCTAATTAAAATCAAACCCAATACGTTTGATAAGGACAACAAACGTGATCAATACGTATTTTAAATATTAATAAATTTGGTATCTCTGTGTTAGTTTTTATGTAAACAGGTTTCTGCCATTGCTATATATATATATATATATATATATATATTTTTCACAGAATGCACACCCGTCCTGTGAACCTATATACTGTCCAGGGAGATGACAGTGAAATGCTAAGACACTGTTATCCTCCAGTTGAGGTAAATATTTATAAGACAACAACAACTGTAACTTTCAATACCGTGTTAGTTGCCACAATGATTAGGGCTTAAACGCCTAACTTCAACACTCCGGCCGGAGCCTAGTATTACCGGGTAGTCCAATACCCGGCCGAGTACCCGTGCATCCCTAATATAAATACAAATAATTATAATAAAAAGAAAGAACAATTACAAATAAAGTAGAAAACGGTGATATAAGACATTGTATACAAATTATTCTTTAGATATGGCTTTTGGTATTTTCAAACTGAACAATATTCTATGTGATACATGAGCTGAACGCTCAGGTGTGAGACTCCAAGATTCAAGAATGGCTGTCCCTAATTTAGAGCTGTTGACCAGAAGGAAAGTAACCCATCAATGGAAACTGCCGCCTATATAGCTATTCGCGAATAGTGGGATTGATTTTCATTTTTATAATACGCCCATAGCTGAAAATGGACCATGTTTAATGACATATCGCAGACTCAAATCTTGGACCTTTCACAACGCAGCCCTTTATGCTAAACGTCCAAGATATACTTTATAATAAACGTACTTATAACAATGAATGACTACTAATGGTCCAGTTGATTTAGAAATTACGCGGATAACTTTTTCGCTTAATTAAATACCACTTATTAAGCTGAAAACTGTTTTAAATCGCCGTTGTCATGATTAGTAGCCTTTATGATTACCTTTTAATATAGTCTGGCAGCCAAAGTAGGTTGTTTTTACCTAACTTTGCATGGAGGTCCCACAATGTTTCTCTGCTAATTTTGTGTAGTCAGACCATACACAGTCAGATGATGGAGTATGCCAAGTTGACACCCTTGAGCATTTTTAAATAATGACTGGTTTCCATGGTAAACCTCACACCTCATTTCATGCGTAAGTGTATAGATATAAAATGTCATATCTCAGCAACTACAAGTGATAGAATGTAAAATAAACTGTCAATTTCTAGGTTTTTGGGCGCAATAAATCTACTGGTGGTATCGTTTCATTAATTGGAGATATGTTTTATACTCGTACTAGCGTCAAAGCACGTCAAAAATGGCGGGAAACCAAAACTATTCCGTATAGAACTGGCAATACACGAAATAAATAAATAATAGAAATATATAAATTTTCTTTCCCAGGAACATGCTACATATTGCTCCTGAATTCACTACATATAAGTGAACAAACATGCTACATACTGGTGGCTTTGGATAAAAGATTAAAACATTCGATGACCATGTGATTGTACACACACACACACACCTGTTCTTTTTCTGAAGAAAAGTCGTCTTCTTTCCTACTGATAATTGGTATCTCCAGTCTCTTTTAACAAAGGCTTTTTCTTAATAATTCCCAAGCATAGACTTGCATTAATTTTTTACTAATTTTTCACAGGCATTGATTGGGTATGAATGCACTTCCGTGTCTTTTATCACTAGAGTCTTCCCGGCTTTCCTATTCGGATCCTACCTAGCTTGACGTCATAATAATGTGGATGATGTGGTGTCACACACATGACGCCGTGCCTGATCTGGTCCTAGAAACTCCCTCCTTGATAGGCTTTTACATAGCAGAAAATGTGCCGAAATTTATGAGCTAGTTACGCCTATGTTAGCGATTGAATTCAACTAAAATGGGAACGGGCAATCAAAAGAAAAAGTATTATAGGAGACAAAGTTGAATTGGACTCGTGTAAATTACGAAATTCGGAGAAATCGAGCGTGACCGATTGACTGACCGACCGATACTTGGCTTTTATGATTATGATGGCAAGTCTGACACAATATGCAGTAAAATATAAACAGAAATAAACAACAACTAATCAGCTAAGACAATATAAAGAACAAGTATTATAAGTGCTTGACTGACTTGTATTTACTATAACTTTCTTAAATTATAAGTTAAACTTACATGCTTCTTTTTATTTTGTGTTTAAAAACGAACATTTAAGATAATCAATATCGTGTTTGTTCTAACAAGTTGAAAACTTGTATTGAGTATAGTGCAGGACACGTATGTTAACTTCAACTGAAACTTTTGAAAGCGAAGATCTAGTTAAGGTTAAGCAATTAGCAGGTATACCCACATATCCTAACTTGATGTTTAATGTATTTTCAGAACACAAACATCATGAATGAGTGTTTATTTGATAAAGTCAATGCCTGCCCTTATCCAAAACCAGCCAATTTCACACACAACAATGAATCAAAATATTATTGAAGCAAGCAATAACCTGCATTCGCATATAGACAGAAACTTTCGTGATGACCTTAATTACACTGTGTATTGTCACAAAAACTGTATATCATCATATACTTCAAAATCACACTTGGAAGACTACGAAAACTAACACTCGATCTGTCTCACCAAATCCTCAGGAAAAATGGAACTGATGTTCGAAGATTGGACTTCAAAGCACATTTCCTGTTTTGTGGAGATTCGTGTCAAATCAATAAGAAGATCGTCAAAAGCAAGTAGCTATGAGTACTACAGCTTACCGTAGACACCATAAACCATTTAAAGAAGTCATATCTGTGAGTAGTACAGCATACCGTGGACACCATAAACCATTTAAAGAAGTCGTATCTGTGAGTAGTACAGCATACCGTGGACACCATAAAACACTTAAAGAAGTCATATTGAACACATGTGTTGCGCGCGGGTGGGGATCAGTGGGTACATGAGGTGTCAGTGAGAGTAGAAGAATCAGTCAATGACTTACATGTAGCAGATGCTTGGTATCACCATGATTGTAAAACCAAATTTATGGCACCAAAGTCAGTACAACTTGCATATTCAAGTAGAACAACAGCTCAAGAGCCAACGTAAAAGGATTCAGTGTTTGACCAGTTCATGTCCTTAGCTCCCACTGATGAAACGTTCCACATGAACATAATGAGAGCATGTTTGCAAGCATGTATATGGAAACACGCATCAGAAGCCAGTCCTCCACCCATTGACCCTACATTATTCGATTGGTCGAAGGGTCCAGTTAATAAGACACTAAACTCTGTAATGTTTCCACCTGGCATACTACCTGCTCCAAAATCTATATCAAATTGGTAAATTGTGCTTGTGCAATGTACGCTTCGTGAAGATGTTCATGCTATGCTGCCATGTTCAATATTCTCCGGTTGAAGATGGGTCAGACTGTGCTAATGAGCATATCAACATAAATCTAAAATATATTCCAGGTGAAGAGAACTAAATGAATTTTATAAACTTGTATGTGCACATGGTGTCCTATTTTCTTTATTTTGTGGGGGTAAATACGTCACATGGAATATACTGCTATAACATTGAAGATCCACAAATATGGGGCTGTACGGTTGAAGTGTTCACCTTTCTGTTATTCTGAGTGTTTAAAACGTTATATAAATGTAAAATATTGTAACAAAGCATGAAGTGTTTTGTAAGAAATCCATGTAATAAGTGGCATTCATTTTTTATTATTTAGAATTTTGGTTCATTGCGGAAAAATGCATAACTATTTTGTCAGGCTTGCCATAAAACAATGTCACCATTAGATGCTAACTATTAATTAAGGTACTATCTTTTATTACCAGATACTAATTACTAACTAGGTACTATCTTTTATTACCAGATACTAATTACTAACTAGGTACCATCTTTTATTACCAGATACTAATTACTAACTAGGCACTATCTTTTATTACCAGATACTAATTACTATTTAGGTACCATCTTTTATTACCAGATATTAATTACTGTTTAGGTACTATCTTTTATTACCAGATACTAATTACTATTTAGGTACTATCTTTTATTACCAGATACTAATTACTAACTAGGTACTATCTTTTATTACCAGATAGTAATTACTAATAATTAGGTACTATCTTTTATTACCAGATACTAATTACTAATAATTAGGTACAATCTTTTATTACCAGATACTAATTACTAACTAGGTACTATCTTTTATTACCAGATACTAATTACTAATAATTAGGTACTATCTTTTATTACCAGATACTAATTACTAATAATTAGGTACTATCTTTTATTACCAAATACTAATTACTAATTTGTTAATATCCTACATTTCGGCTGTTAATCTACTCAATCGAGTGCATGGCCAGGTGGTTAGGGCGCACGACTCGCAATCTGCGGGTAGCGGTTTCGAATTCCCGACACAAAATATGCTCGTCCTTTCAGCCGTGGGGGCGTTATAACGTGACGGTCAATCCCACTATTCGTTGGTAAAAGAGTACCCGAATAGCTGGCGTGGGTGGTAATGAGCAGCTGCCTTCCCTCTAGTCTTAAACTGCTAAATCAGGGACGGCTAGCGCAGATAGCCCTCGTAAAGCTTTGCGCGAAATTCATAACAGTGGATAGAACACCAGCATTTCTAACAAGGAACCCAGGATCGAATCTAGGCCTCTACCACTACGAACAGTTCTTCTAAGGACTTCTCTAAAGACAGAAGCGGATCAACCGTCGAAACACACACAATATATACTAATTAGATTTAGATGATGTATAGGCTTGTAGTTACGTCAACAATTGATACCCACTCACTAAAACATTACCACAAGTCTGTGTTACACTTTAAAAAGGCGTAACATTTGGTTTGTTTAGAATTTCGCGCAGAGCTACATGAGGACTATCTGCGCTAGCCGTCCCTAATTTAGCAGTGATAGACTAGAGGGAAAGCAGCTAGTCAACGCCACCCACAGCCAACTTTTAGGCTACTCTTTTACAGACGAATAGCGGGCTTGAACGTCACATTATAACGTCCCCACGGCTGAAAGGGCGAACATGTTCGGTGATCGGGATTCGAACCCGCGACTCTCAGATTGCGAGTCGAGCGCCTTTAGTTTATTAACTTAGCTTATTATGTTTTAAATTGAGTTTTTTTTTGTTTTTTTAACGAGGCATAAGAAGACATATTATACAGTTTTATAATGTCATATTGCCATGTATCATCTTATTACACGGAGTAAGCAGACAAGGAAAATCCTATGTTTGAGAACTGTCATACTAAGAACACTTAATAAGATACGGTGGATCAAAAGAACTTTATAAGCCGTTCTGTAGACTGGGTTTAATGAAGAGATAGATGATGCGACCTCTTTCGAAATAACCTGCAAGTTCACTTTTCGCTTCTAAATTACAATATTTGTTTGTTCTTTCGACAAGTGCACGTACTTCAAATTAATCAAATCATAAATGTATTGGGTGACCCTAAAATAATTTCGATTTAAAAGAGATGCATAAATATTTTAGAAATCTTCCCAAAAAATTTCAGTGTAATGGAGTTTATAACTTTGTATTTAATGTTACAACCAAAAGACTGAGTAAATGACTTTGTTAAACACAAAGCTACACAATGGTCTATTTATACTGTGCCCACAACGGGTATCGAAACTCGGTTTTCAGCGTTATAAACTTATAGCCTTACCACTGAGTCAGGTGGGGGGGGGGGGGGGGGCTATTTTGAATATTTACCAATAACTCTGAACTTATACTAAATGCGTGGCTCAGAATATGAAGAGCCTCCTTATGGTCCAGATTTACTTTTAATGTTATATAAATATTCAAGTTCCTGTGCATATGTTTGGCCTAATTTGAAACTACCACGTGTTTTCACTCACTTCAAACGGGCTTATTTCAATATTAATATAGCCCACGAAGTTACATCAAAATATGCTAACTTACATAGTTGTTAGGTATAAAACATGTGAATTTAACGAAGTAAAACTCAAGCCAAGATTTGTCATTTTTACAAGTTCTCCACTCTCAAACAATAAGGAACAATATTTCCCCTCTTCCGGGTATCTTGAAAATGAGAATAAGTTCAAATACTTCTGGACATATTTCTGATTATATTTTTCGATAGAAAACAACAACAAAATGTACAGCTGTTCCTAAAGTTTAAAACTGTTGGTGTGTGTATATGATTAAGGTAAGAGCTTTTCATTTTAAACCCACAACGATCTGCTATGTTTACTCGACAAACATATATATAGAAATATGTCACCGCCATGGGCTGAGATTAAAATATGATTGAAATTCTAACTCGAAAGCAAACAAACAACAACAAAAAAAAGAACTTCCCTGTTTGATCTGAACAAAATAAACAACTCACCTTTAAGGTCAGCAACAGTTTTACTCGCTCTGCTCAGAAGGAGGGCCATGTCTTCAACACAGCTCGTGCTCACGCGACATTTTTTGTTGATGACGTTCCCTCGAAGCTCTTCAACCTTGCTCTCCACATCTCTAGAAATGGCGCGTTTTAAGACATTATTTATTTAACGAAAACTTCAGCTAAAGACCCTATTACAAAATTATTAGTAAAATAAAATTTTTGGTTGGAACATGCTTTTTTTTTAAATTGTGATTCGCAGTACACGAATACAGAAAAATTATCTTCAGTAAAAAAAGAGGAAACTAATATCCACCAGCTTATTATACCAGCTGGTTATACTAGAGTCTGGTTAAATTGTATAATATTATGGTATTTTTATCCTGAACAGTTTTTAATCATTTCAACATTATTTTTAGACCTTTACTGGTCTGTTTGTTTATTTGTAGTTAAGCTCAAATCTGTACAATGGCCTATCTGTGCTGTGCCCACCACAGGTATCGAAACCCGGTTTTTAGCGTTACAAGTCTGCAGACTTACTGCTGTGCTACTGGGTGGGGACACTTTTACTGGCAAATTTGCAAAGGAGTATAATTTCGTGATGCACCGATAGATTTTAATTTACTTGGTACTCAGCTTTGGAACATATTGGAGATAAAATATCTTGCCGATTCGCCAGTTTCGAACTGCATTAGCTCAGTTTGGTTAATGACGTCATGTAAAGGAGACCCGTAACATTGTATCATTTTATAACTTTCTTTCTACGATCGAAAATTGTTAATACAACCCCATAAGTTTCAAAACATCGGTATAAACACCTAGATATATTGGAATATTACACTCACTTCTTACGTTTAAAGAATTCATAACGTTATCAGCATCGCACGCTGAACTGATTAAATACAGAACATTTTGTTATTTTGTGTTACTACATTTTTAGTAATGTATTCAACAATTTCTGATCTTATATGTTGTTTATGACGGAAGAAAATAACACTGATATAAGAAACAGCTGTCGCAAATGAGAATGCGAAGCACTGAACAATATGAAACAAAGTAGCTTGTTGATGTATCAATAATCGAAGTAATAAAGCAGCTTGTTGATGTATCAAGAACCCATGTAATAAAGCAGCGTGTTGGTATATCAAAAATCAAGGTAATAAAGCAGCTTGTTGATGTATCAATAATCGAAGTAATAAAGTATCTTGTTGGTATATCAAGAACCCAGGTAATAAAGCAGCTTGTTAGTGTATCAAGAATCGAGATAGTAAAGCAGCGTGTTGGTATATCAAGAATCGAGGTAGTAAAGCAGTTTGTTGGTATATCAAGAATCGAAGTAATAAAGCAGTTTGTTCGTGTATCAAGAATCAAGGTAGTAAAGCAGTTTGTTTATGTATCAAGAATCAAGGTAGTAAAGCAGTTTGTTCATGTATCAAGAACCGAAAGAATCATAGAAGAAAGCACGTGTTTCTAATCCTACTTCAATATTTATGTTGCTTTTTAAGAATCTTTAAAGTTCGGGATATGTTGATAATTAATGTTACATAATGGATCACGTAAGTTAGTAGCAGCTTGATTGAAGTCAAAGTTTTTATAATCAACGTTGGATAAATGGGTTGCTTGGAAAGCATAATGTCAAGTTTCCTGTTTACGAAGATATTGCTCGTAGATTTAATTAAAATCTCTACTAAGAACGGACTGATAGTTTTAACTATCCACGTTACTATATAGCCAATAATATATTTATCACTGCTTTATACAAACTTGAGTATTAAAAACAAATATTATTTTAAAATATCACGAACTTTAAATTAGTTTTACTTTTGCTTTTATTTCTCTCGTCTAGGAAGCTTATAATTTTACAGTAATTAAATATTTACTGTCTGAATTCCAAACAGACATTTGTTTTGTTGTAGCGGAAAGCTACACAATGGGCAATTTGCGCTCACTCCACCACGGGGAATTGAACCCCGGATTAAATTACAAAATACCAAATTATGAAATTAAAAAAGGGTGTACAAATCTTATTTCTTTTTCTGACAAAAGAAAAATATAGCCTCTTGGTTGTTTTACCCAAAAAAACAAATGTCCTATTTTTTCCACAAACCGCATTTATGCATTATCACATATTTGATATTTTTTCGTTTCCTTTAATTTATTTCTATCCCTTGTACATTTAAATAGTGTGAAATATATACTTCTCATTTTCAAACACACAGAAAATAAGAAGCTATTGAAATATTATAGTAATGTTTATTTTCGAAGCTTTCAAATACTTACGACAAGTCTTTCTCCACTTGCATCATATCTTGACGATAAAAATCCTCGTCTCGTAGCATTCTACTTCTCCCAGTCATTACGTCATCATTCGAGTCTTGGGCAATAGCCAGCATTTCCTTGTACATGGAAATGGTTTAGTAAACTTAAAGATTAAAAATGAAGATAGTCTGTTCCCATAATGAAAAAAAGGAATATTACCGTATAGACTTCAAGTGTCTCGTATTGGCGTCATTGATGTTTTATAAACAAGCCGTGGCAAGTGTTCAGAATTGTTTGTTTTTTGTGAAGCACAAAGCTACGTAATGGATTATCTATGTTCTGCCCACCTTGCGCATCGAAACCCAATTTTTTAACGCTAAAGCCCTCATACTTACTGTTGAGCCACCGGGAGTGGGGGCGGGGTCGTGGCAAGTATTTAGAATCTAATCATGTTTGCTTCCTGCACGACGCGTGCAATCTGCTTTGTGTACGAAACAAGGGATACTAGTTCTGTAGCCTTGAATTATTATTGATATTAAATATAAAAAAGGGATACTAGTACCTGTAGCCTTGAATTATTATTGATATTAAATACAAACAAGGGATACTAGTACTGTAGCCTTGAATTATTATTGATATTAAATACAAACAAGGGATACTAGTACTGTAGCCTTGAATTATTATTGATATTAAGTACAAACAAGGGATACTAGTACTGTAGCCTTGAATTATTATTGATATTAAATACAAACAAGGGATACTAGTACCTGTAGCCTTGAATTATTATTGATATTAAATACAAACAAGGGATACTAGTACTGTAGCCTTGAATTATTATTGATATTAAATACAAACAAGGGATACTAGTACTGTAGCCTTGAATTATTATTGATATTAAAAAGAGTAAAATTCTTGATCGATTCTACCAATTGACAAACGTTGATATCTTTGTTTATGTATTTCACTTTAGCTGGAGGAAATTAAAATAACGCAATGAACGAACTCTAGTTTTGCATATTTATTTATGAGAATTGTTTAAGTATTCTCCAATTTGTCTTATTCCTGCAATAACAGTGTTTTTACAAAATACTTTCTCGTTTAGTTTATACTTAACTGGTGTGCATAACTCCAGTTCATGAGGGACTCAGGCACAGCCACATGTTTTCTGTCCCCGCCCCCTTCTCTCCTCTGACATTCTTCTACCAACTATCAAATGCACCAGGAATACATTGTTACTTTACTTCATATAATGCGACATTTTATTAAAGAAGTATGTCCAAATGACCGACCTTCAATCGGACCATCTTCGCTCTTTTTCTTGAATTCACGATGAAAATACCTTCACGAAAAACAAACGTGTTTTCTGTTACTTAAATATCAAGCTTTATGATCAAAACACTCAAATATTACAGTAGCTCTATTAAGGATGGCGTAGTGATACACGAGCATAACTTCTGGTGAAGAGTTTACATTGATCTCATGTAAATTAATGCATCGAACCGCATTCGAGTCTTTTAAAAAAAAAATAACGAGAACGTTCCGATTGAGTGGCTTTGTACCTATAACTTCTGGTTTACTTTTCTTAACATTCAATTCTTATTTACATTTTGTGATTAAAGTGCTTTTTTTTGCATTTCTTACCGACAATTTATTTATAAATGAAAGTGCTATTTTACTCAAACCTGATGGCTTACTTTTCGCAGTAAAAGTGCTTTTTGATCCCTAACCAATAGCATACGTCTCGCGATGAGAATGCTTTTTGATCCCTAACCGACAGCTTATGTTTCATTATGAAAGTGCTTTTTGATCCATAACCAATAGTATACGTTTCGCGATGAGAGTGCTTTTTGATCCCTAACCGACAGCTTATGTTTCATTATGAGAGAGCTTTTTGATCCCTAACCAATAGCATACGTCTCGCGATGAGAGTGCTTTTTGATCCCTAACCGACAGCTTATGTTTCATTATGAAAGAGGTTTTTGATCCCTAACCAATAGCATACGTCTCGCGATGAGAGTGCTTTTGGATCTTTAACCGACAGCTTATGTTTCATTATGAAAGTGCTTTTTGATCCCTAACCAATAGGATACGTCTCGCGATGAGAGTGCTTTTTGACCCCTAACCGACAGCTTATGTTTCATTATGAAAGTGCTTTTTGATCCATAACCAATAGTATACGTTTCGCGATGAGAGTGCTTTTTAATCCCTAACCGACAGCTTATGTTTCATTATGAGAGTGCTTTTTGATCCCTAACCAATAACATACGTCTCGCGATGAGAGTGCTTTTTGATCCCTAACCGACAGATTATGTTTCATTATGAAAGTGCTTTTTGATCCATAACCAATAGTATACGTTTCGCGATGAGAGTGCTTTTGGATCCTTAACCGACAGCTTATGTTTCATTATGAAAGTGCTTTTTGATCCCTAACCAATGAACAATTTTTTCTAAGGCTTAAGTTCCGCCGGATCTCTCCGGATGTGAGATTCGGAACTTGTTTTGGATATTTCTTTTAATCCTTAGAAACACTACAATTTTAAATCTGACCCGGTTGCATTACGAATTGATATTTGACTGACGTAGTCACGTTCATTACTCTTCTCCAGTCTCATCCCAGGTAGTATATTCAATAATTTTAAATTGTTATTTTCCAACACTCAAAATTCCCTCCATTCATCATCAAAAGTAAACATTTTTTTTCGAAACTAAGCAGTGATCCTTTATAAAACTAGAATAATCTGGAGACTGCTTTCAACTTGAGGAACCCCCTAAAATGTTTTGTCAGGATTTATTTTCTTTGTAATATTAAAAACAATCCTTTTGTGACAAATGTTGCTTTACACTATATCGATTATAATATTATTCAAATTTCGTTGCCCCATTTCAGTTGCACGTATGTTATGTTTTTGCACATCTACAAGTAGTGTCTATATTTCTATTTGATTTTTATAGCACTGAGAAATTACAGATCTGCAGAAGAATGACCAGAAAGTTTAAACATTGTATGATGAAAATCGTAGTTAATTTATTTGTTTGCTAATTTTCTCGCAAAGCTACTCTAGGGATACCTACGCTAGCCATCTCTAATTAAGAAGTTATAGACAGGGAAGGCAGCTAGCTAACGCCATCCACCGCCAACGCGTGGTCTACTCTAATCGATTAGTGGGATTGGCTGTAACATTATAACGCCCCTACGGCTGAAAGGGCGAGTACGTTCTGTGATAGGGCTCGAACTCGAGACCTGCAGATTGCGAGTCAAGCGCCATAATCACTAGGTCATACCAGGCCGATCGTACTTGAAAAATAAATTGTATAGCAAACGCTGGATCTCCAGCTGACAAAAAGCTTACTTCCGAACAAAACTAGAGCACTCAAATGTACCTTGGTTGATACTAACCCTTCAGCTTCATCAACGAAAAAGTGTTAACAAATACTTGTGATCCACATTCATGTACAATTTGGTTTGCAATGGATTGTTTTTCAATAAAGGCGATTTTAAAATATTTTTATATATTTATCTTTTGACTTGGAAAAGTCAAATGCATTATTTAGAAGGCTTTTGCTTTTCGGGTTCAATATAATGTTTTTAAAGTCCAATGTACTAGAAGAATGTTTCTAATACTGAGAGTAACTTCCTAGGTACCCAAGTTATTCAAAATTAACACCAGTAGTTAATCTAAAAAGTAAAAAAAAAAAACACATGTGGAAATAAACGTTTATATAGTTCTAAGCTACTAATACAGATGTGTTTCCAACAAACATATATATATATATATATAAAGTGAATCAGAATCTCGTATTTTGCTTTAGAACCATATCAGATAGATCTTACAGTTGCATCATGTTTGAGGTATGCAATACGTTATTTCGAATATCTTCACACTATAGAAATAGTTTTCGTTTAGAGCAAAATTCTAAAACCCAAATGATTTTTATTTTGATTACTTATGATGGGATTGGCAGTGGTTAACGAACAAATGATAGTCAACAAACGGAATAAAAGATAAAACAATCTACATATCTTTTATCAAATGTTTTCTCAAAATGGGTCATAAATTACCTTAATCTTTAGGCAAACATCTGTAACGCACTCTCGAGCGGACATTGCTTGCCTCTGGGCTATCCTGCGCAGACTGAGGACTTCGCTTTGTAGATCCCGGGTCTGTTGTCTCAGATACCGGAGTTTTGAGCAGAGTTCAGGGCTGAGCTCAGAGTCTGTAATATTAGTAGAAATGTATAGTTTATTGTCAAGTGAAAAGATTTTTGAAGATGACTATTACTAAGTAAAAACCCTTCATCAAAACTTACCCGGTTCAATGAAACTCGACATTGTGAGAATGGTAAAAGCTATTAACTTACAAGTATTAAATTTGTAATATTCTTGAGCTGCACGTTTTGTATGATATACGAATCACTTTTCTCTTCCATATCTTTGTGTTTATCGATAACGTTTTTGTTCAGCTACTAGACTTTCTATATAATTGTTCTGTTGAAACTATGTACCTACATTGTCAAAAGAACTGAAAATATCTCTTATACATTAGAGAAGAATTTACAAAAGAAATTTCAAATAGGTGTTGTTTGAGTCAACGACTAAAAGTGTGAATGTTTTGATAGTGTAAATTACGCATCTAAAACGGACAAAAGTTAATTCGGAAAGTACAACCACACCCTCACAATTTCATAATGTAAAAGCTGGCCATCCAGTAAATAGATCACATATTACTCTGAATAGGCTTGTAATTGTAAGGTTTCATTGGTAGTTTCAAATTTTGAATTTTTTCTTAATATACATTCATTTTTACTAATCGTACCCGATCCGTCCCAGGGTCCCAGCCTTTCCTACAGAGAGCTTTGTTTACTAAACTTCCCCTTCATCATAAAAGAAAAACAATCACACACTGGGAAAATAAAAACAATTATCAAATACACTCTAAAAAATCAATAAGAATGGTGCACATTTATATTGAAAGTGACTCATAATATGAGCGTTAGACACAAAATGGCAACCGGCTTTTATATATATATATATTATATTATAATCAGCGGGAAAAAAAGAGCAGTAACACGCCAAAGTTCGTGACTTTTATATAAATTTGGGAAAATCATATCCAACTTTTATTTAAATTATTTATATTATTTCTTTCCTTTTCGGTTTGTTCTCCACATTATGAATATATCAAGAATGTTTATACGCCATTTCTAATGTTAAAAAGCGTTCCAGAAGGAATTGGAATTTTTTTCAGCATTTTAGTTAATGCTGCATAATAAAACATTTTGAAACATTTTTATCAGAGCCAGACTATGCATATATCCTCTGCGGGTAGAGGGTTCGAATCCCCGTCACCCCAAACATGCTCGCCCTTTCAGCCGTGAGGGCGTTATAATGTGATGGCCAATCCCACTATTCGTTGGTAAAAGAGTAGCCCAAGAGTTGGTATTGGGTGGTGACTAGCTGCCTTCTCTCTAGTCTTACACTGCTAAATTAGGGACGGCTAGCGCACATAGCCCTCGTGTAGCTTTGCGCAAAATTCAAAACAAACAAACAAAGCATATATCCCCAGTTACCTCGAGTAGTAATGAACTACTCTAGGAAGTAGGAGGCCAAGGCCTCACTAACATAATCTTATCACCTTGACCCATAACGACCCAGCAGAAACTGTTGAAGTATACCCAATTTATCTATTTCATGATGTTGTCTTACTCAAGTGGTCCTGTGGTTAGTGAAAGATTTCACAAATCCATCGACATTTCACATGTACCAGAACGTATTTTTCTAATTACGTCATATAACCTAAAATTACGGTATAAACGCCGAAAGAAGATGAAGCAATCAAAATCAATAGGCCTAAGGTTTATGACAAAAATCCTATCACAATGTTTAAACCTAAAAATTAATTTCAAATACCATTATTTCTTAAGGATAATGATAATACGTTGGGGAGAATGAAAAAAAAAAAGATGTTTTATTAAAAACATTAATAATACAGAAAACTTCACGAAAACCAAATAAAAATAGACGAATTATATTCTCTAACCTATAATTTAGGTATTTTTAAAACGTGCCTAGAACTTCGAAATGCCTACGTCAAATTAAGTATATGCATTAACTAAACTGTCAAAGGATCTGAAAAAGTGGAATTCAAGTCAGGCCTCGTGAACGTCAGGCCATAGTTCTGTTGCGATGCGACTCAAACGAACGGGACCTTATCAAAAGCCAGTTGGTTTATATATATTAGATAACCAGATATTAATTACTAACTATGTTTTCTCTTACTTTTCGGATGCTAATTTAATACTGTCTTTAGGGGAGTTCCGAGATGTACCATTTCTAAAGAGGCAGCAGATTCGCAATTTCACAGACAAAATGTAGGGTAAAAAGTAATTACTATCTAGTTAAAATAAATAAATAAATAAAATGAAATTTTATTTCTTTATTTGTTGTAGAGCACAAAGCTACACAGTGGGATATATGTGTGTTGTGCTCACCACAGGTATCAAAACCAGATTTTTAGCGTTATAAACCTTCTGACTGATCGTTGTGCTACGCCACGGCTGAAAGGGCGAGCATGTTTGGTGGGACGGGGATTCGAACCCGCGACCCAGAGATTGCGAGTCGAGTGCCCTAACCACCTGGCCATGCCGGGCCTGAATATAACGTACTCAGCCCTGTCGAAGACTCACTGAAGCAAGGTTCGCTATATATTTACAAACAAAAATATAAAACTTTATGCCAGTGAATAATGCGAGAGTAAACAGCATTTGCGTGTTTTTTTTTATATAATTAATGACGGGAAGAGGACATCGACCTATATACTACTTTAAAGACGAGTGTTTCTTTCTAAAAGTGATGCTTCTTCGCAGTCTGTACAATTTGAAACTCATGTTCGCATCTCTGAAACTAAGAAGGCGACTTTAAGCCTGATTAAAAGATACATTAGGACTTGATCTTTTAATGAAGTCTGATCTTGTGATGAACAGCCATCTAAATCCTTCCAACATGCTGCGGCTCACGTAAAGAACATTATAACACCTTGTGAGGCTTAAGATAAAATGAATACAAAATTGTGACCCATATTAGAATTACTTATATTGTTTTTGTATGCAAAAAGAAGACATGCAAAATTAACGACACTGGTATTCTTGGTGAATTTGTTGTATTACCTATAATATGCTTAACTTAAACAATAATCAAGTGAATGCCTTGGACTAATACACAGGAATTAAATCTAGATATCAGAGAGGTATCACACAAGTCCCTTAAGATATACTATATGAATATTCATTATCAAAAGTGTTCTATAACCCAAGTTGGTGCTTCAACATTCAATATTGACAGTATCCTTTAGCCTAAGCTGGAATTATTTAAAATATATTCTATAACATTCATCGTATGGCATTCAATATTAACAGTATCCTATAACTACAATGGAAGTCGTTAAAACATACTCTACAATATTTATTATTAGAAGTATCCTTTACCTGAGGTAGCAAGTTATTTTAGGATCATTCAGTAACAACAGTTACTTTTAACCTAATCGGCCATTTTTAGTTTTTCTAGCTTGGTGTCCAGAGAAGTATAACTTACACGTATTTATTATCAATGGCATCCTTTAGCCTAGGCTGATATCATCCGAAATATATCGTCTACGTATTCACGATTAATTGTATTCGTTACCAAAGTCGTGTTCTGCGAAACACACCTTAAAAACGTTAATTATAAATCAGTTCTTTCCGGTGTAAACTGATTTTGAGATATCAGCTAGTTTGGCTTAAATTGACCTATTTCCAGATATAACATTTGAGAAATAACTTGTATTAAGTGTCTATTTATTAGTAGTCACTTCAGCCAGAGACTGGAATTGGAGTTCTGAAATGTATATTATAAACTGCATTATTCTTAGTATTTGTATGCAAAAAAAAACATGAACGGACTTTTCTCTGTGTTGAATACTTTTCTTTTAATTGCGAACTTTCGGCCCTCTTACAGTAGGCATCATCGTGTAACAAAGTACTGAATAATACTAATTCGTTCCTCTGTGGAACACTTTTTAAACGCTAGTATTTAAGCAACAATGCTAAAAATAACTAGGCTGACATCTGGTGTTAAAATTATTAATCATATATAAATTGCTGAAAACGAAGTAAGACAAGTACAGAATCAACACACAAAATGTTAAGCTTTTACATAAACTGAAGAATCAAAACCCCTGATTTTTAGCTACATAAAATTTTATACACTCTGTTGTTTAAAATGATTTAAGGTCAAACCATTACTTGAATATAACAAACACAAGAAAAAACGTACAACCACAAAATAAAATGCTCAGATTTCAAATAATCTATATAAAAAAACGCCAATATGTGTGGGTGTGTATCTGTTTCCTATAAGTTTCCACATTTCTTGAACAATCAACACGAAATTTGATACAGTGATACAGAATAACATGAGGAAATTCATGAGGGGTTTGGACCCCCATATAATTTCATACTGATAGAATTCTTGAATTCTTTTCAGTATTGGTACATTTGTATTGCACTTTTCATGTTTATTATGTTACAAAATAGAAGCACAGCTTCCTATCATTTGTTACAAACGAGTTTTTATTTCACTCGGGTATTCCAGCTGGTACATTATAGAATTATTGGTCATGAATAAGGCACAGTGTCGTAGCCAGGACGCACACATTGAGGGCGCAATGACAAACTCAAAGGGCGCGAGTACAATGTAATCATTTTCAGTTTTCGTTATAAATTTTTGTTATCATTTATTGATGTTCCTTATTGATTCATAAGCGAATTCACTCATGAAAAAAATCTTTGATATCCGACAACAATTCAGTTATGATTCTTATTTTATTAATAAACGAAAGATTAACGTTGCATCGATCAATAACAATTTATTTGAAATCTGACGAATCTGAATAATCCACGTCAGCGGTATGCAGCCGTCGATGCGATAAAAAACACAAAAGCCTAAAGCATAAGTACAAATATATTTTATTTTATAAATATTGATTTACAGCAACTATTACTTCGGTTACCTAATATTTTTATACATGAGTACATTGGAATTATTCAAGTTCCAAAAAAGTAAAAAGAGGCATTATTTTATTTTTTAAGGCAGATTTTTAGAGGGCGCATTGCGCCTATTCGCGCCCCCGTGGCTGCGGCACTGATAAAGTAACAAACACAAAAAATCGGTTTAATGTAATTTTACATCGATACCACGACAATGATAGTTTTGATAAGTGATGTTGTCATGATATAAAAGACTATTTAGTTTAGATGTCATTGACTGTTTGTTTTTGTGAGTGAACAGTTCATTATTTTCCAGTTTTTATTAAATAAGAGTTAAGGGCAGACGATTGTGGGAGATTTTGTTAATAATTCATTGATGTTGAGACTACTGAACGTCTCGTGCAATACATTGACGCCAAGAATATAGAAGGAGGACAGACGATTAGGTAGTAAAGATATAAATAGCGTGAGACGAACGGAAAGAAACAGACAGACAATAGCAGAAGAAAGTAAAGTTACAAAACGAAAGGTTAACTACCATAGAAGTGATAGGCCTAACGACTGACATAGGCCAAATGCTTAATAATATGTTAGAGTAAGACTAACAAGAGATAAGAAGAAGAATTATTCCGTGAAAGCGTGGTTCTAAAGTAATTGAATCAGTCTGAGTGCACTTTGACAAAAGGAACAGAGGATCTTCAGAAGAAAGAAGACCAAACAATTACGGTAACTTGCGCTACAACTGTAAGTGAATTACACACAGAATACTAGTTCGATAATATTAGAGAAGATAGTTCGGCTTGTCAACTGAAATTCTAAAGTAATTTAATAGGCCTAAGTGGACTTTTGACAAGAAGGAGAGAACTAGATATATAAATAGTGTTTATGATATGCCTGTTGAATAATTTGTTGTACATACATTTAACTTGTTCCGAATATATATATATAATATTTTGAAAACAAGTGAAATACGTGCTATATATTTATCATTGAATTTATCGCTAATAATTCACAGACACCTACTGTAGAAGAATCCTAAGCCCAACAACAACATAGTATATATAGTTATACTATTAAAAATATAACTAAAGCCTATTATTTTGACAATTGGCGAAGATTAGATGTTTAAATTCTGACAGATGGCAATAGATTCTCTGATATTTCT